GGGATTAATAACCCCATGCATCAGCAGAGGCTGGGGACCAACCAGCTGGAAAGCAGCCTTGCAGAAAAAGAGCTGGGGTCCTGGTACACAAGAAGTTGAACATGAGTCAGCAATGTACCCTCACAGCAAAGGTGTCTAACAGTATCTTGGGCTGCATTAAGAAGAGTGATTACAGGTTGAGGAAGGTGATCCTTCCCCTCTTCTATCAGACCTGGTTATGGCCACACCTGGAGTGCTGGGTTCTGTTCTGCACTCCCCAGTACAAGGCAGACATGGACATACTGAAGCAAGTCCAGCAAAAGACCATAAAGATATCTAAGGGATTGGAGCATCTCTTATATGAGGAAAGGCTGAGAAAGCTGGGACTGGTCAGCCTAGAGAAGAGAAGGCTCATGGAAGATCTCATCAATGTGTATAAATAACCTGATGAAAAGGAGTAGAGAAGATAGAGGCAAACTCTTCTCAGTGGTATCTAGTGAAAGTGCAAGAGGCAATGGGCACAAACTGAATGCAAGAAATATTTAAAGAAAACGGTTTTTCACAGTAAGGGTAATTGAACACTGGAACAGGTTGCCCAGAGAGGCCGTACAGTCTCCATCCTTGGAGATATTCAAAACCTGACTGGTCGTAGTCCTGAGCATCCTTCTGTCAAAGGGGGAGTTGGACTACAGTCTCCTGATGTCACTGACAACCTCAGCTGTTCTGTGATTCTGTATAAAACTAGGTCAATCTTTATAGAAGCTATCTTCTTACCTTAATGCACTATGCAGTGAAAATCTGAAGTATGGAAGGCTAGAGAGAGCTGTGGGAACTTTATTGAAGCACCACCAATCAAACAGCTTTAACTAAGTAAACATACTGCATTCAGGTTACATAAAAACTTTCCTTTGTAGCAAAATGTTAATTAGAAAAGCTCAATTATGGTCTTTGTAAATATCCCTATAAAGACACTTTTAACTATTTCTTAAGCTAAAATAAATAACTGCAAAATCCGCCAACATTACCCTGCGTCTAGCATCTAAATAAGAATGAATTATCTATGTTTAAAATGTAAATAAAAAACCTGAACTGCCTAGAAGCTATCTGAATATCCACCCACCTCTATTCACTGGAAACCTGATCTTTAAAAAGTTGCGTGTGGGAAGTCATTCCTATTGAATGCCTTACCACCATGAAAGCAAACTGAACTTGAGGCAATCATTTGCTCCCTAGTTACTGATATCCTCTATAGCAGAACCCCCTGCCTTCCCTAACACATAGATTACGCTAAAAATCAGTGCACTGAAGAGTAGCAAAGGAAATGAACAAGGACCTTGGAAAATGCATTATGATTCTGGTTATTATGATAAGTGAATGACTTTCAGGTGTATTTCATACAAGGCAGAAAAATGCGAACAACGTTACAGGTTTTCTTCAGAGAAAAACAAAGCTGATTTCATACCAAAAAAGCTACACATTATTGTTGCAAATGTAATGTCTTATTAAAGGTAGTTAGAATTGCTTTTGCATAGCTTAAAGCATGAATTAATGACAAGGAAGCAGTCTTTGTACAGAGCTGTATGTTGAACCTGACATAATCTTGAATCTATGGATGCTATCAGCCCATTGACCTCCAGCTCTAGCTTTCCTCAGTATGAAAACTATGACTTTTTTTTTCTTTTTAATCATAACAATCCTTTAATGACGATTTCTGACATGCACATGTCAAGCACGCTCAGGTTAACTCCTAAGCTATCCATGTCCAACCACTTAAAATGTAAATGCTTAAAAATAGTCAGAATCTCAAGTTTAAATTTAGTCATTCCAGGTGGCATCCATCCTTATGAGTTAGGTCATGAGTCTTAACTAGTTGCTCAGACACACTTTACAGAACTATTTCTGAGAGAAGTCCATCCCTCTGCCTCTAAGTCCACTTGAACCCTAAGAACGCATCCCTAAACAGAGAGCTTAAAAAGATTATTAACAGTAAGAAGACAAAAATGTTGTTAATTGTTCTCTGTGGCTTTGAAAAGCTCCCCATTAAAGAAAAGTGGTTTTAACTTCCAGGAAAGCACAGCAGCTACAAAACCCAGTAAGACTGAATGAAAGCAAAATTTGCCTCCTTAAGAACAGGTCTTTTTGAAATTTAAAAAGACTAATTGTGGATTTAGAAGCCTAAAGTACAGGCATGTAAATATTTTGAACTTTTGTTTTTTAAAACAGGCTTTTCATCCTTACTAAATCTTACTAGTGAGTAATGCTATCCCATTGCTATTTTGGTACAGCAACAATGAATCACCTCTATTACTTAACACATCCATTCTGAAGAATGCCAGATTACCATGATTTGAACTGGCGTCGGTGTACTGGCACGAGTGCCAGCCAGAATTATATAGCAGTTGGACCACAGACATCAGGACTTTCAGGGCATAACTGGACTCCTGCTGCTCAGTTCCATGTAACTACTCGTGAATGCTCATCACCTAATGGCTTCTTGTTTTTGAAACTCACCTTAAATAAAATATTGCAGATACCATACTGATAAAGTCCCCTATGTCGCTCTATTCTTGTGGAAAACGTCAACATTGTGAAGGAAAAATGAAAAGTTGTCTTGGAATTTGCTACCAAATTTCAAGTAAAAACAAAAGGTTTTGTTTCAAAAGTTTGCTAGTGTCTCCCAGTAACTCTAGTTCAGGTGTCCTCTCTTCTAAAGCTCAGTGTCTCTAGACTATCCTCTCCTACCCCATGCCAGACACCCTCACCAAGCTAGCATGGGTGACCCTGTAACGACATGTCATGAGAAATAGGACCTAGCTGAGAAACTGTCCAAAACTTAGAGATAGGAGACATACAAACGACACTTCCTATTATGGGGTTTATGCCTTATTTGATTTCTCACTAAAATACAAAGAATGATTATTTTAATGTTGAAAAATATGAAAAAATGTTTCATATTTTTTCCAAGTTTCTGTCAGGGCTCTGGGTGCATGAAGAGGCACTAAAAACTCTTCCCCCTCACTCCCATGGGTTAGGCCGCCTGGGTACAAGGCCAGCTCTGACACTGCACAGCTGTGTCCTGGGTAAGACTGTGGTGACAGTGCTGTGTGAGAAAGAGCCAAGAGAAGCCTTGTTAAGCTCCTCCACCCTTTGCTTGGGTGCTACACTAAAGCTTAGACTGCAAGGACCATAAGTCCTTGGTCCTTGCCTGAGATATGTTACTGGTGCCTGTACCTGGCCACGTACCTCCCTGATCTTGACCCACAGATTTGACTTCCTGGCTTGACCTTGGACCTGGCTCATGACTACAGACTCACCTGGAGAACTGAACTCTTCACTGCACCCTGTCTACTGTCTCTGGACCTGCTCTGCCCTCTTTGTTCAGGTACTGTGGGATTGCTCCTTCATGGGTGATGCCACTGTCCTGCCTGCCTTACTGTTGAGGAGTAAGGCTCACCTCTGTTGTGGAGCAGCTCACTCTTGCTTCTCCCTAAAAGTGTCAAATTCAGTTGTCAACCAACAAAAAAAAAAAAAAAATCAAGTAACTTTTCAGGCAGCACTTGATGAAAAGTGAGTGGTTCTGTCTACCAATGTTCCTATTAATTCAGCCCCCAAAATTTTAGGAGTATATGGTATGTTCATATGTGTAAGTATAATCACACACAGAATCAGAGAATCATTAAGGTTGGAAAAGACCTTTAAGACCATCAAGTCCAACCATCAACCCACCACCACCATGCCCACTAAACCATGTCCTGAAGTGCCACATCTACATGTCTTTTGAATACTTCCAGTGATGGTGACTATGAAGCTGAGACCAGTCCCTCAGTAATTGTCATGGCCTTCCTAGAGCTTTGGAATTCATAGTTTATTTGCCATCTCTGTCAGTCATGGTCCACCAAAGATAGAGAGCAAAAAGTGTTTCAAGGTTACTTGTAACACTACCTGTCCTGGGTTTGAACATTTTTTTGTGGCAGGTTCAGTATAGGTCTTATCACTGGGTCCATACGTGTATTTTTAACTCCTTCCTTATGTGAGCCAAAAGGCCTGCACCAGTAGTTTTTGGCAGCAAGCTGCAGACCAAATAACCTCCCTCTCCTGCTTCTTCATCCAAGAACTGGTGCCTTTTTAAAAGGCACCCTCCTAGAAGGCAACAACTGACTTAGACTACAGACTTCCATAGTACAATCAGTCTGGTTAAAAAAAAAAAAAACAAAAAACAAAACACAAACCAAAAAAACCCCACCAAAACTTAAAACCATTTCAACAACAGCAGTGGAGTAAGCTCTTCACATTTCTGCATTATCTTTCACCCTGGGAACCCAAAGCTGCTTACACATTATACAAGGCAAGTTTCACTGAACGATTGTGAACTAGTTATCCATTCTGCACAACGGTAAACCAAGGCCATGAGAGGCTCCAGGGACTCGTCTAAGAACACGCTATTGGAAAATAACAGAAAACTTGACGTATGTAGGACTTATGATATCCTCAAAGATGGTACAGTTACTCCAACAATTTTATTTTGTTTCTTTTGGACAACCAAAGCAGGAATTACACAGTAACACATCAACCAATCCTGCCAGTATTCTTCATAATTCAGATGATAGTATTATTTTTTTAAATAGTTCCTCATGTTTTGGTAATTTTTTGTATTATTATTACTTAACATTGTCTCTTTTGGAAGTTGAAAAATATAATACACTGAGATTAAAAAAGGTCCTTTCTCTCCTAAATAAGGACCCGGTAGGAATGTGTTGTGGGACAGGAAGATAATCTTCTCAAGCGCCACAACAGTTTTAGCTTCTGTGATTTTGCAAGACACAGTAGCAAAGAATGCTGCTGCTGTGGAAGGGTTTTTTCCGGGTCTTCTTGCTCTGAGAAGCTTGACATGTTTGCCCCTGCCATCTATACCTCCTGGCAGGTATTTCAATTGCTAAATTTCACAGTAGGGCTCATCAAGACAGAACCCCCAACATGCTACACAACAAGTAAGAATGAATTTATGTAAGGCCTGTACTCACGCAGAAGTGGTCTGCATATCATGCCAGCTTTTGCTGAAGTTCTGCTTTAGCTCGTTCATCAGACTTATGCCAAGCTTTTGTTTAATTTCAACCAGGTGCTTTTCTTTGGCTGCTAGCACTTGCCGCAAAGTTGAAATTTCATCCTCTAGCTGAGACACACAGAGGGAGGAGAAAGGAGAAAGGTGTTAGCCTGTTCCCACAGAACAATAAACACATACGATGTTAACAGATTAAATAAATCTCACATAAACTTGCATTTTTTGTAGGTGACTAGAGAGACAGAGTTTCAAGTGTTTGTGGAGATCACAATCATAGAATCACAGAATGGTTTGGGTTGGAAGGGACCTTAAAGATCATCTGGTTCCAATCCCCCCGCCATGGGCAGAGACACCTTGCAGTAGAGCAGAAAGCCCCATCCAACCTGGCCTTGAACACTTCCAGGGCATCCACAGGTCCTCTGAGCAAAAAGACATGTCCAGAACAGAGATGACACTATATCAAACTAAAGTCTTGAACTACGCCACCTGTGTGCACTATCATACACATGCATCTGATAAGAGAGAGAGTTCTCCAGCAAGGAAGTGACTATTGAGTGACTTGACCAAGATCTGCCTTAGAGCGTTAGGAGTCTCCAACATCAGCTTTCCATTCACTAGTGGAATAGGAATGGGCAGAATAAGAGAAGACTGGATAATTCAGGCAGATCTCTCTCTTTGAATCCACAGGCTTTTATCTTCATATTTGCAGCTGCTCAGTCTTCCACTCATGAAAAAGATAGATACAAATTCTTACGAGCAGGCTAAAAAAAAATTTTTAAAAAATCACATGATAACATATGACTTGTGAGTATTGTAAAAATTGTCATGAGTTTTATCTACATATTTTAGGCCCTACGTATTTAAAAATAGTAAAATAAAAATATATAGCAGATAGACTGTTAACACAAGTGAACAGGTCCTACCCAAAACATAGAATCATTCAGAAGACACAGCAGATTAGTCTTTTCAGAGCTGGTAGCCATTAACCAAACTGTGCAACTGTGCAATTCAGCCCAACAGAGGCATACAATTCTCCCTGCAGTGGACATTATTTGAAACATTTAAACCAAGCCAGTGTTTTAGCAAGGCAAGGACCAGAACACTTGACTGAGAGGAGGAGGGACCACTGAATCAGCCGGCCGCTGGCTCAGGATCCCCCTCCTTGGGCAGCGCTCCTGTGAGCAGGGTTTGCATTCTTCATCCGGAAGCCTCCTAAGCCAACTATACAAGCAGCACTCAGAGGTACTGAAGCTAACAAGGGCTAGTGACACCAGAGCAGCTGCCTTTCACTTCAGGTTTGTAAGTTCCCTTACCAACTGTGTTCCTTCCTCCATATGTTAATAGGATAACATATGGTAATGTATCTGATTACCATATGTTAAGTTCCCTGGCACCACAGTCTCCCTGTGATTTAACTCCATAGGCTGCAGGGAATGAGGCAAGCACCAACAGAATGAGCTGCTGACCTCCAGGGCTATATTTAGGGTGTCAATACCAGCATTATTTTTATTTTACATACTCATGCATTCTACTTCCCTGTAAAACTGGCTGCAAGCTCATTGCTTCTGAAAAGTCTCACCCTTGAATCCCCCAGCTATCAGCTTCTCTTTTGTCACTACCTGCTATTTAAATTATTCAAGCAGCTCAGCAATTAAGCAGCAAGACTATGAACACGAGGCAAAATCATGACCTCAGTGAAGGAGGTACCAGTATTCACCAATGACTGTGGTGCCAACACTTCGCCAGTAGAATACATAACAATCCAAAATTGCTTTATTCCTTCCCATGTCCTTTCTGCTCCATTATATTCCTAACTTGCAAACGAAACGTTGTAAAGAGGCAACACGAGTTTCTCTTCTGAGAAGATAACTGGTTAAATGCTTACAGAAAGAAGAAATCACACATGTCAGCATTCCTCAGAAGACAGTTCAGAGCTCCCGTTAGTTGTTTCCCACCCACAGCAACCTCCTTAGTGCAGAAGTCTGACTGAGTAACACTGCTAAAGAACTTAACTTAAACCAATACCAGTATGCTTACATGTACTTAAACATTAATGCTTTCCATATGGGTTAGCACCAGGTTGATCATTAGGTACCTGGATATGTAAACATTCAAGAGCTTCTATTAAAATTACTTTCCATCTGTTCCATTGAATAGACACCTAAAGCCCTAAGCAAGCATTAGCCATGTGCTCAATGGCATTAAGTATGAACAACATTTTTGACTGTATTAAAAATAAAAAACTATTCTTCTTTAGAGATCAGAGTCTGGTTTTGATTTGACAAAATCCTCCTCAAGTTCCATCATTTTAAAATAATGGAAGATACAAAGACTCCCTCAAGCACTCAGGTATCAGTGATTGAAGACTGTGAAGTAGGCAGAAAGGATTAGGGACTTATAGTGGGATCTTAAAAAACATTTGAGCACATTACATACCTAACTCCCATGGAAGTCAGGCATTACCTGTTTAGGCATTTTTGAAAAGTCCACTGTTATAAATGCAGAATCCACTATGAAACTAGGATTTAAGTCAAGAGAAATGTAAGCTTCTAGTCTTCACATTCCCTTTCTTTCTAAGTGTAACAGAGTCAGAAGAGGCCAACTGTATGAGGTCCTGCACTTTGGCCACA